CCCAGGGCACCAAGCTGTCCCAGACTCTAGCCATAGGCCCTCTCATCAGAGTTTTGCTCTGCTACATGAGTTTGCAGGGCATGGGCCTTCAGTGGCAGGTGTCAGCTGGCTGATGGGACAACAGTGTTGGTGTCCAGCCCACTACAGGGCAAGGATGGTCTTCAGCAGCCATGGGTAGAATTTCTAGGAGTCTGACTCACTTGGATAAAAGTGATTCGGGGGGCGGGGGTGCTGGGGTTGTGGCTCAGTGATAGAGCGCTTGCCTAGCACGGGTCAGATACTGGGTTCAACCCCTAGCACCATATAAAAATACTAAATAAAAGTATTGTGTCCATCTACAACTCAAAAATAAATAAATAGATAAATTCCCCATCAATGGGAAGCCTCTAGCAGCCCCCAGGACTCATTCCACTGGACTCTGTTAGAAATTACTGACACCACCTCCATATGAGATCTTTTCGTGGCAAGCACATGGATCCTTGGGCAGCTGCCTAATCCGCAGACGGGCTGGTGGCTCTGCACACCTCCATCTATTCTCCCAGGCACGCACCACATGGGGTCAAAACCCCTCACACTCTTCAAGGGCTGCTGCCCTGACAGACAGTAGGAAAGCCGCCCTGCTTCCTCCAGCTCCTTCAGTTCTATCTGCCATCTCATCTCTTAAAAAAAAAACTACCAACAGCTTTTTTTTTTTGGATTTGCTGTTCTTCTGTGTGAATAGTCCAAACAAACAAAATAGTTCCTTGAAACTATAATTTTTCTCCTACACTGTCAGCAATCCTCAGCAGCTCTCCCCTGCTCACAGGGGTCATTCAATCGCATTTTGAAAAATGTCTCCAGTTGATTTTAAGGATTTTCTGTGTTGCGCTTCCCCCTAGGGCTGGCCCAGGGAGATCCTGCAGGAGTCCTGTATCCTCTGCAGGGAAACTCTCTAGGATTTGGCTTCCCAGGCCTGGCAGGAAATGCCAGAGGGTGGGGGATGGTAGGACTGTATGGAGCTCACAAGTTTTACAGAGGACAAATCATGGGTGGAATTATTCAAGGCAGGTTTTGTGGGATCCAGTTGGAGGGGACGGTTTCGCAACGAAGATCATAAAATACAAATACACAGAATCTGAAAATGCCTGGGAATTTTATTTCCTGTAACAACAAAAAAACAAAACAAATCTACCTCTCTGTGGCTTTCCTATCCCTCACAGTCAGTGGGTAAATGGAACCAAGGATAGACAATTCCTGAAATCACTTATCGGGCTGAACCTGACCTGACCAAGCCCATGACTTTCCGATCCAGCAGTGTGCCTCCGCACAACAAGAGGGCTCCCTATACTACGTGTCCTCTCAGTATCTGATCTCATAGAGGCAGGAAATTTTCCCCTTATTTTCTAAATACCCTTGCTTTCTTCCTCTCCCTTCCTCATATCATTTCCTTGGAAGAAGCAGGATCCAGGGGTGGTGAGTTTCAGCACTGGAAATAAAATGGACGTGAGATCCAGGGATAACTTCTAGGTTTTAGCAGCCACCTCCTGGCCTTATCCTCTTCCAAATGTTACCCATGCTTCAGGGACCAGGTGAGGTTCTACCTCTGCCAGGAAGCATTCCTTGCTGCCTTCTGCAGAACCTGAGATGAATCTACACGGCTCCCCCGGCAGAGCTGCCATGCTGTGGAACGTCACTCTTAACTGGCCATTGGGTACACAGCCACACAATCTCTGTGAATTTAGAGGTGACACGTTTTAGCTCTGTAGTCTCAGAATCTAGGACTGGGTCTAGCACATGGTAGATGCTCGATAAATACTTTCTATTCATTGAAATAATTAAAGCCCATAACTTTTTTCTTAAGCAAGAAAACAGTTGTGTGAGAGACAGGGAGAAAAGCGAACCGCTCCTGACAATAGCTTAATGTTACCCATTTAAAAGTCATCTGGTGCCTGCAATCCCAGTGGCTCAGGAGGCTGAGGCAGGAGGATTGCGAGTTCAAAGCCAGCCTCAGCAACAGTGAGGTGCTAAGCAATTCAGTGAGATCCTGTCTCTAAATAAAAAAACAAAAGGGGCTGGGGATGTGGCTCAGTGAACAAGAACCCCTGGGTTCCATCTCTAGTACCAAAAAATAAAACAAAATGAAATAAAAATATGACTACTGGTCACCAAAGGAAATGTCAAAGTTTTTAAAAGTTAGACTAGGGGGTCTATAAGATGATTCTTCATGAGGTTCCCTTCGTTAGTTCATCAGGGTTATTCTGTGGGGTTAAATCATGATGTGCTTTTTAAAAATTAGATGAATCCACATGAGTTAGGTAAAGGTCTCCTACTGAGTTGCCATGCATGGGAGAGGGGACCAAGCTGCTCCTGTCACCGTGGCTTCCTGGCCACTGACCTGAAGAACTATTAAACCTCAAAACTACAGTTTCTTCTCTCCCAATCCTCATCCTCCATCACCCAGACTCTAAAATCCAGTTTGATTACTACTTTGCCGCAGACAAAGGTGTCATTCCTCCATGGGGTCGGTCAATATCATCTTGTGTTTGAAACTGCCTCACAGTGAGGACCTTGGCCCTGATCTTCTGCAATGCGGAGAGGACACACTGCCGGCACTGAGGCTACTACCCATTCCTCCCCTCCTCATTCACCATGGTGACCTTCAACGTGGCTTCCCAAGATCCACCACATTCAGAATCCTCACGAGTGGGTGGACTCCTCCCAGGACGCTGGACCTTTGGGCAGTGTGTTCAAAGAAAGAATGCCAGTGTGGCGCCTTGCCGAGGAAGTGACGTTAGGCAGGTGGGAGAGGTGTCCTCAGGGGCAGGGAGGCAGATGAGTTTCCTCCTAGAAGGGACACCACACTGGCCCAGGCAGAAGAAAGTAGCACTATGATACCTCAGCAAGGCCACACTGGAGTGGGACCGCAGAGGCCAAATGAGATGCCAGGTCTGACTGTGCCAATGTGGAGGGGTTCCAGGCAAAAAACTTGTACTTTTTTGGGCATGGTGGTGCAGACTTGTCGCCCCAGCTACTTGGGAGGCTAAAGCAGGAGGATTGCAAGTTCAAGTTTAGCCTGGGCAAACTTAGTGAGACCCTGTCTCAAAATAAAATGACAAGAGCTGGGGTGTCACTCAGTGGTAGAGCACCCCTGGGTTCTATCTCCATACATCACTCCCCACCAAAAAAAAAAAAAAAAAGACTTATTTTCCCAAGTCTGATTCTGATAGTGAGCACCAGCCAGTGTAAGATCCTGTGATCAGTACCAAGAAAATAAAGATAAATAGATATCATACATTTCTCATAAATCTAGAACTAAGCTGTAGTGGAGAAAAGAGAAAGTTTGTCTCCATCATTGAGGCTCTATCACCATCTTGGACTCTCGTTTGTACACACACATGCACTCACGCTGACCTGGCACTGTTGGGTATCCCAAAACAGAGCAAAAACAAGGGTGGCCACTGAGTCCTAAAAAGGAGTAGATTTTTATTCAACAGGGTCTCTGTTGTTTCATAAGCAAAAAAAAAAAAAAATATATATATATATATATACACATATACACATATACACACACGTATGCACATATACACACACATACACACACCTTTGGAGGATGAGCAGAATGAGATTTTTCAGAAGCTAGTTCATATTCTCCTAAGAGATCTGAGAAATAGGACAAATTCCATTAGATCAGTATTTCTCACTGTGCATTAGGTGTGTGTGTGTGTGTGTGTGTGAGAGAGAGAGAGAGAGAGAGAGAGAGAGAGAGAGAGAGAGAGATGGGATTTGGGATCAGATCGGTTGGGAAATAGTAGATTAAACAAAGGTAATCTTTTTCTTTTTTCACTGTAGATCTTCTCAGAAACTCCAATAAGCAAATATGTGTGGAGACTCCACAAGAGGGGTCCAAATTGCAATGTCCCCATCTACGGCCACAGAGACCTTCATGCTTACAGTTTCTCAAGTGATTGGGGTTCTGGAAAACAGCCTTTGGGTAATTGTAAACCAAAGAGATTGTAAAATCCCTGAGGTCAGAGACTGGGTCTTGTTTACCACTGTATCTTTAGCACCTGACACAATACTAGATACATGAGAAAGATTCAATCAAATAAAAAAAATTTCTGTACAAGTAATTGTTGAATTTTAAGTGGAAAGACTGGCATTTGCAACAGCAGGGTGGTGAGAATATATCAAAGAGCCAAAACCCTTCCCCATGTTTCCAGCCTTCACTGTCTGGGCTCCAGACTGGCACAGATAGGAGCTTGGGATTTGGTCATTTTTGTTTTCTAAAGAAGCCAAACATTGCAAATCCATAATATATCCATAGAAAACTTTAACCTGCCCCTATTCCCACAGAAAAGAAATATAAAATAGGAGCTTCTTGAAGAATGTGGGTTCCTTCTCTTTGTTAAGAGTAAGTACCAAATCAGAGACCAGACTCTGCAATGTAGTTAAGACTGTCTCGTCTCTCCACTGCCACCTTCTGGTCCTCAGGCACCTACAGAGTGAATCTAAAAATGCCACCTAACATCTGCATTTCACTGTGGAATTTTAAGCAACTATTTACATCCTTTGCCTCCTATGACGTTACACAAGTTACTCTTTTTCTTTTGACCAGAAAGCAAAACGGAAGTTAAGTGATTCGAGTGACAGAAAGTCAGGGGCCCAGCAAGGCTACATCACACTTGTTGGTTTTTCAATGAGCAAATATTGGGTTTAGCCATGGGCTTTGTCCAGCTTCATCTGCAAGGAGTTCTACCAGTCCCAATCCTCATCCTCCCAGGACCCAGACCCTAAAATCCTTCATAAGCACAACCTTGAATGGAAAATCGTGTGTCCATAAAAAGAAGATGGTGTTCAAATACACCCTGATCTCTTCAAGGGTAAAATATGTTTCATCTTACAAAGTCTTTGAGGGAAGAACGTAGAAGGTCTAAAATGGATACTTTACCTGACAGTCCAGATACCAATGTCCTACAGTACTTCCCCAAGATGGCGGCCAGCTAGCTTCTTGGTAAACGTACCTTGGTCTGGAAGCAGCAATAGAGTTGGGTTAGGTATGGGTGTTTCCTTGCCAGTGCCAAAATCCTCTTCTCTGTCATCGTGCAGTCTACATCATCGTCCTGAAGGATGACATCCTTCTTTAAGACTTTCACAGCATATACTTCATCTTTGCCCTTGAGTTCTGCCAACATGACCTATAATCAGTCAAAATCATCCCCATCACTACGTGTATGTGAAATCAAAGGCAGAACACAAGTTAATACCAAATACTTTAAAAACTTATTTTTTAAATTTAATTTAAAATAGTATTCCATAATTTTACTCTTATTTAAAGCTGAGTAAATTCCATCGAGTATATATACCACATTTTTTAAAATTTATTCATCTATGGAGGGACACTTAGGTTGGTTCCATAGTCTAGCTGCTATAAACATTGATGTGGCTGCATTACTATAGTATGCTGATTTTAAGTCCTTTGGGTATAAACAAAGGGGTGGGATAGCTGGGTCAAATGGTGGTTCCATTCCCAATTCTCTGAGGAATCTCCATACTGCTTTCCATAGTGGTTGCACCAATTTGCAGTCCCACCAGCAAAGTATAAGTGTACGTTTTTCACCACATCTTCACCAACATTTATTGTTGCCTGTATTCTTGATGATTGTCATTCTGGCAGGAGTGAGATGAAATCTTAGTGTAGTTTTGATTTGCATTTCTCTAATTGCTAGAGATGTTGAAAATGTTTTCATATATATGTTGATTGATTGTATTTCTTCTTCTGTGAAGTGTCTGTTCAGTTCCTTAGCCCATTTATTGATTGGGTTATTTGGGGTTTTTTGGTGTTAAGTTTTTTGAGTTCTTTATATATCCTAGAGATTAATGTTTCATCTGAGGTGGAGGTGGTAAAGATTTTCTCCCAATCTGTAGGCTCTCTCCTCACTTTATTGTTTCCTTTGCTGAGAAAAAGCTTTTTAATTTGAATCCATTCCACTTATTAATTCTTGATTTTACTTCTTGAGCTTTAGGAGTCTTGTTAAGGAAGTCAGATCCTAGGCCGACATGGTAAATATTTGGGCCTATTTTTCCTTCTGTTAGGCGCAGGGTCTCTGTTCTAGTGCCTAAGTCTTTGATCCACTTTGTGTTGATCTTTGTGCAGGGTGAGAGATAGAGGTTTAATTTCATTTTGCTACATATGGATTTCCAGTTTTGCCAGCACCATTTATTGAATAGACTATCTTTTCTTCAGTGAAGGTTTTTGGCACCTTTGTCTAATATGATATAACCATATTTATGTGGGTTTGGCTCTGTGTCCTCTATTCTGTACCATTGGTCTACATGTCTATTTTTATTACTATAGCTCTGTAGTATAGTTTAAAGTCTGGTATTGTGATGCCTCCTACTCAGCTTTAAAGAAGAGTAAAATTATGGAATTTGCCAGTAAATGGTTGGAGTTGGAGAATATCATGCTAAGCGAAATAAGCCAATCCTTCAAAACCAAAGGCCAAATGTTTTCTCTAATATGCAGATGCTAATTCACAATAAGGAGGGGGCACTAGAGAAGAACAGCATTATCTTAGATTAGGTAGAGGGAAGTGATGGGAGGGCAGGGGAGGGATACAGAAATAGGAAAGATAGTAGAATGAAATTATATCCCATCTATATATATCAAAGTGCATAAATGCATTCTACTAACATGTATAACTAATTAAAACAAATTTAATTTTTTTTTAAATTTTATAATTTAAGACACACTTAAAATAAAATAATTAAAAGTTTTTTTAAAAAAAGATATTATGACTGCATTGAAAAATGTTTAGGGGGCTGGGGCTGTAGCTTAGAGGTAGAGTGCGTGTCTGGCAAGTGCAAGGCACTGGGTTCAATTCCACTGCAAATAAAATAAAATAAAAAGTGAAAAGAAATGTTAAGGAAAAACACTGATCCTAGTATAACTACTACAACTCACTCATTAATTTTAATCACTGGCTTGTACAAGGAAAGTAGAGAAGTTTAATTCACATCTGTTAAGTGATGATTCAGACATACTGTAATACTTGCAATTATGGTATGGCAAATATAGGGTTGTCCCTTTTAAGAAAAACATTAATTCATAAGCATTTTCTGCAGAGTCTCCATCATTATCACAGTTATTGTTACTCAGTTCAAAGTATATATATTCCACAATTCACTTAGCTATCTCCCTCATATTAGAAACTTATTATATCTAATTATTAAATATTATATAAGGTATACTAAGTATTTTTGTACATGATTTTTTAAATATCTTGCATTACATCCTTACGATAGACATTTTTAAAAGCAGATTAATGACTAGATATTTTTCACGTTTCCTCACTAATTTTTAAAAAGGATGGCTAGCAACACGCTGCTAGCCATGTAGAAGGATTTTCATCTCATGGTGACATTGTGACATTGCATGTTTTCACTTAAAATGTCTTTTTCTTGGGCTGGGTTGTGGCTCAGCGGTAGAGCGCTCGCCTCCCATGTGCGAGACCCTGGGTTCGATCCTCAGTGAAATAAAGATATCGTATCCAACTACAACTAAAAAATAAATATAAAAAATAAAATAAAATGTCTTTTTATTTTTCTTTCTTTCTTTTTTTTTCTTTTTGCTCAACAAGTTGGAAATGTTGCCTCAATGCAAAGAAACTTTTAAGATATTTATTTTCTAATTGTTTTTCTTTTGGGGTCAGTTATTTGTCTCCTTTGTCCAGTTTTTTGCTGTCTTATATTTTTCTTACAGATCTGTATATAGATGATATAAAAGATACTAAACCTTAACTTTTTACAAAGTTTTTTTCTAAGCCTGTGTTAAAATTTTCTGCCATTTTTTTCCTGTTGAATGGAAGTAGGTACCTTTATACAGTTCAATCTGCCCTGGTCTGTCTCTATGGTTTCCTGTTCAGCTTCTGAGCTGGAAACTTGATCCCTTCTCCCAGAGCTAATTCACAGGTCTATTTTCTTGAAGTTTTCCTTTCACTGTATATTTTCGCATTCACTCATCCACAAACATCATAAGTCTTTCTCTTTTTAAAAAACTAACTCCTAAGTACAGCACTCCAATGTGAGTTGTCAAAGCTAAAGAGCAGCCACCAAAAACTTCATCAGGGAATTTGTGATGTTAATCTGAAGACTTTTTACCACTCACAAAAAACACAGATTCTAAAAGTGACTCAAACCTTGTCTGTGATTGTTCCTAAACCACCACTTTAGAGCCCCAGAGTCATCAAACTTCCAATCCTGTCTCCACCTTACAGAAGCCCCAAAACTCTGAGCGTGGTTGTTCCCTTTGAATCTTGCTCAAAATTAAACTGGGTCCTGCTCACATCCTGGAGTCAAGCCTAAGCCAGAGGCCTGGGGTTTGTTTCTTATTGAGCTTGTCTCTAAAGAATGTAATTGCTTCAGTTGTGGCATTTAAGTTACCCGGTTACACTCCTGCCAAGTGATCTCAGGGTGAGATAGGAGCAGGTGAGATGGCTGAAAAGCAGGCCCCGTGCCCTGCGGCTTCCCAGAGCCCTTCATGTTGGAGGACAGTGGAATGGGCCTGCGGCTGGCCAAGTGCCTGGTCCACAGGCTTCTGCTTTCAAGCACCCAGGACATGTGAGGCCGTGTGACCTCTGGGAGCTGTCTGGTCCTCAGAGGAGGAGCTCTCTGCTCTGGAAGATTCTGGAAAGGGAACTCTCATTGACTTTCAGGCATGGTTTTGAGAAGATCAAGGGGACAATCAGGAGTCTGATTTGAAATGCTAACCAGCTTTCTAGGCTATGGCTCCCTCCATCTTTCTAAAATGAACAGGGAGCATTTTTGCATCTCACCAGCCATCAGAACAGTGACTGACGATTAATCCTTCATCGAGCACACCAACAGGTAAGCCCCACACCACTGTGTTCGTCTCAGTGGGGAGCAGGATATGGAGAACAGCCCCAAGGGCAGAGGACTCTGATCCAAGACATGAGATAATTATTTGATTCTCTTGCCCCATGTAGGAAAAAAAAATCAGTTAAATAACATTTAACTTCCAAAGTACACCTTGGTAAGATTTGTTCGGAAGCCTAAGTTCACTGACAACAGTTCAAACAACATTGACGACAACGTTCAAATACATCACAATGAAATAACAGCTCCAGATGGATCTCTTGGAGGAGAAAAGACAGGCATTCATGTTATTCTTGACAGTGGATGCTGAGCACATACAAAACCTTTTACATCTTCCACAGGGCTTCTGTCCCCCCTCTTACAGGATGACAAATGAGAAAAAGTGAATCCTAAAGAGGTGAAATGACTACACGAAAGTCCAACAGACAAGTAACAGTAGAACCAGGGCTCCTATGTGCCTGGCCTCAGCCTATTTCCACTTGACAAAGAAGGATCTTAGATTCAACCAGTGAGAAAATTCACAGCGCTCCACGTGAGTGCCACAGACCTTGCCAAAGCTGCCTTTGCCCAACACCTTGATGAAGTTGAACTCGTCCAGGCCCAAACGCTTGGCCTGGCCTTGCCGGACTTCACCGTTCTCACCAGGGCTCCCCAGCTGGCCGTCCGTGGACGATGATGCTCGGTGCTCCTCCCCTCGGTTATCAAACGACAAGGCTTTCCGGATATTGTTTTCAAGTTCTTTTAGTTCTAAGGACCAGAGGGGAACAAGATATTGCATTAGTACGTATCTCATGGACTTTTCCCATTAGGACTCCACATTCAGAATGTCCCACATGAACTCTGAACCCGGTTTCAGTTCTTCACAGTAACAAATCCAGGGCGGCTTCCCTTGGTGTGTGCCTTCATTTGTCCAGCAAGTTCACTGGCACTTAAAGCACAGCCAGGCCTCAGTATACAAAGGGAGTTGGCTGAGCGAGGTGGCACATGCCTTGTAATCCCAGCAGCTCGAGAGGCTGAGGCAGGAGGATTGCGAGTTCAAAGCCAGCCTCGGCAACAGCAAGGTGCTAAGCAGCTCAGTGAGACGCTGTCCCTAATAAAATACAAAATAGGGCTGAGGATGTGGCTCAATGGCCGAATGTTGCTGAGTTCAATCCCTGGTACCAAAAGAAAAAAAAAAAAAAAGAGAGAGAGAGAGAGAGAAAGATTTGACCCATTTGTAATAATTATTCGTAATAATTTGATGGTACTATGGGACCTCCAGACTTGTAGGAATTATTCTGACCTGTGTAGGCCTTTTCCTGTTTTATTTTAAGACTGAGACATCCCCTGGGAGCTTCAAGGAGACTGAATGCCCTGAAGCACTCGCTCACCATCAAACCCTTTTGGATTATACCAAAGCCAGATATCTCTCTGAAAGCCCCCTTTGACTAGTGGCCTATTCCGTGGTTCTAGGTGTAATACCGGAATCCAGGCCTTCACTGGGACTGTGCAGAGTCAGAAAGGAACAAGTACCCTTTAAGTTCCCTTTGAAGAGTCAAACTATCCAGAATCATCATGGCAGTCATCATTGGTGATATAATTATCCCATCGAAGGGGACAAGGAAGCCTTTACCTTCTCAGGTCTTTAAATGGTCTTGATGCTGGGTTTTCTCTAAAAGCTAGTACCCCACACAAGGGTACTGACAAAACAAGCAATGGGCTTATCATTAACAAAGAACTGCTTCCCACAGTGATGTGTGTTGCAAATTTATCTCTGATGGGGCAGGAATTCCTCAGGGCGGTTTCACAACCATGAGACCATCTCGCACCCCTCTGGAGTAGGTGACCTGAGTTACCTGCAGCGATGACACCGGGTGATCCTTTGACCTATTCTATTTGAAGAAGCTTTATAGTTGGCAATTCATTCACCAACATGCACACCTGTCTGTAAAAGTGTGTAGCTTGAGGGTAAGCCAATTTTAAAAGATGCTCATGAATAACCAGGATTATGGAAGGAGAAGAGAGACTAGTCCTGGAAACCCAATGCAGGCATGAGTGACCCAGTGCCACTTGACAGAAAGACCTTTAGCTTCTTTTCAGAAGGACGGAGGCCCTAAAATCCTATTCAGAGAACCCGAAGAGCTTCCTAGCTCTGGTGTGGGCTCCTTGGAGGTGGGGCAGTTGTGTTGGGAAGGAAAGAGATGGGGATGGCCTCTGAGACCCCAGCCACCCCCACACTGATTCATTCAGCAGTTACCTACTAACGCTCACTTGGAACTAAGGATGGCTCTTAGTTGCACCACAGGGTCAGTCTCAGTTATTAAGTGGATTCTGGAAGGTAGAACTTAAGATGTTCGGGGCCTCAGAGCTTGAAGACAATGTCTTTCTGAGTTTTTCTAATGGAGGACTGAGAAACTGTGGCTTATTTCTGTTTTATAAGCATGCCACATCTGACTCAGAGGGCTTTCCCATCCCTGAGCGCTCACATCACTGCTGGGAAGTTCTCGTGCCTGCGCTGACTGGTAACTGTAAGAGCAGAAGTCCCAGGAGGTACTGTGCCCTGTGTGGGGCCGGACAATGTGCTGGGCAGCAGCCAAACCTAAAAGCCACCATTGGCACTTCACTTTTATTTGGGGTCTCTACCATTTGACCCAATCTCCTTGAAGCTCCCTGGGGATGTTTCAGCCTTAAAATGAAACAGGAAAAGGCCTACCCTGTCCAGGATAATTCCAACAAGTCTGGAGGTGCCATAGTACCATCAAAATACTTAAGAAGGGGTCAGATCTCTTTTAAAATGAAGACACAGAAAATGAAACAGAGCTACACACACACACACACACACAAAAAAGGAAATGAGGCCAGTTATTTAGGGTTTTTTGTTTTTTGTTTTTGTTTTGATACCAGGGATCGAACTCAAGGGCACTCAAACACTGAACCACATTGCCAGCCCTATTTTGTGTTTTATTTATTTAGAGACAGGCTCTTGTTGAGTTGCTTAGGGCCTTGCTGAGTTGCTGAGACTGGCTTTGAACTTGTGATCCTCCTGCCTCAGCCTCCCAAGCAGCTGGGATTACAGGTGTGCACCACCATGCCCGGTGAGACCAGTTATTTTGTGGCCCCCAGGAACGGCACATGGACTCTGAGCAAGAAGCCTGGTCACAAATGATGACCCCCAGGGAGGGTTTGATGACACAGAAGGGACAGAGGCCCACCCTTACCAGAAGTAAGTTCTTGACTTTGGGACAAACCTTTTCACCTCTCTGACCTTCCCCTTCTCATCCTGTACCTTGGGGCAGCAATGCAGCGCCCACACAGAGTCGGTATGAGTGTAAAACTAGGAACATGAACACAAGCAAGCCTTGTAGAGGGAAAGAACAATTATGAAATCAATACAGAAAAGGCGTGGGAGGACCTGCCGGGGCCGCCAGCCGTCAGCTGTCACAGGCTGTTCTTGAGAGGAGAGGCCTCACATGCCTTGGTCCTTCGGATGACAGAACCCAGGGGTAAAAAAGGCAAATCTGAGGGTCTCACCCTGGTCACAAGGGGAGGTGGGTGCTGACTTGGATCGATCTTCTTCAGATGGGGAGCTTCCAGAAGCTGGCTGTGGGGACTCGGCACCAGCAACAAGCTAGAGAGGACAGGAAGAAGGGAGAGAGGCATCAGAAAGGAGGGTGAGTGTCCCTAAAGACAAGAGTGTCCAACTGCGGTGACAAGAGCATCAGACTAGAGCCCCTGGCGCATAGCAGCGCTCGCTGACTTGACAGTCTGAGAGCTCAGATCTGGAGTTTCATTTGCCAAACACAGGAAGAAAATGAGGGACTTTCAGCTCACTCAACTTTTATTCTATCCAAATGCAACAAGCAAACCTCACTCACCTCTTCAATCAAGCCTCCCTCTGCCTGTCCAAGCAACAGACACTCTTACCCAGAGCAACATGACGCTGGCTGTCTCTGCCATCTGTCTGGCATTTATTTATATCTTACCCAGCTTTATATCATTATTAATATCTGCATGTGTACACTGCATGGGGTTCTCTACTCAGACAGATTATATTTTCTTTGAAGGTAAAAAATATAGTACTGTCCATGCCCCCAGTGACTTGTACAAACTAATATAATAGGCACTCAATAAATATTTTCAGATGTATTTGATATCTGTTGGCAAATTTTAACAGAACACACCAATGAAGTGTGTTCCCTGGCATAGGTCTGGCATATCCACCTTGAGTGACATGAAGTCGGTAGCACTCCTGCTCCCTCTGCTCTTGGTCTACCCACTGTGGGTACCTTTTAGTTTCTGACCAGGGGAGGGCTTCTCCCATCCTTCACACTAACTTAGGTGACCACTTGCCTTTTGTCCAGATTTTTCATCAGAAGCATCTCAGGCATAAAAATTTTAGGACTGAGGTCTCTTAATCTAGACTCTGCTCCTTCTTGAATTTCTCCAAGTCATCTTTGTCCCACCAGGTTTAGCCAAATACAAGGCAGGCAGATGGTGGCCGTTAAGAACAACAGTGCATCCAAAGATAGCAAAGAAGATTGCTACTGAGTTTTCTTTCAAATGTTCACTGACAACGAAAGAGTCTGTCTTACTTTACTTCTGGAAGGAAAACAAAACTTCTGTTCTGGCCAGGACTCTCTCTAAAGCTCCTCCATGAGTCAGGCTAACAGTGTCACCACAGGCTGTTTGCTTAGCCTGCCTCTCCAGGGGGCCCCTGGCATTCTCGGGTACTAACCTTCTGCTTGCAATTCCAGTGTCTTGGATCAACAACTGAAGTCCTATTGTTACCAGTGGGATTTAGAGAACCCAGAAGGGACACCCAAAGCACAAAATCTCACAGTTAACCAGAAATAGAATTTTTTTTTTTATTGCAACTCTTGCAAAACAGTTTTGTTTGCTGGGAATGTGGAGAAGGAGGAGATGGTTAAGATGAAAAAAAAAAAAAAAAAAAAAAACCCAACCTTCCCTTGAGAAAGAAAAAGGCTTTTCTGGGGACACCAGGAGAAAGACACAGGCGGGTTCTAAACCAAGAAGACAAGGAAACATAGGCCCTTCAGCAGGTACAAGGCCAATCTGGAGAGAACATTTGAGAGTCGAGGTGGCAGGAGGCACCCACAGGTGGGCTTGCTTTTTTAGTACAGTGCTTGGTGATGTTTAACCTCAGGCAGGGAGGGCCCCTCCCCACCCACCCACACCAGGATTTCTCACTTAGGTAACATTGTTCTGATTCTCTCATAGTTTACTTTTCAGAGATCTCTTAAAATTTCTAGGCTAAAAAAAAAAAAAAATGTAGTCAGGCTAAAGGGCCGCTCCAGATGCCTTTAGCTCTGTTCATATCTGAAGGCCCTGACTTACCAAAAGAACGCGTTAGCAAGCGGATCTCCTCCCTGTGGCATTCAAAATGTCACAAGGATGGAGCAGGGCTTTGGTCTCTAAAGAAAGGCCCAGATGTTCAATGCTGTGGGGCATTGAGGGTATTCCCCAGGCAGCCCATCGCTGGTTCCAGCACAAACCTTGACACCCTCCCTAGAGAAGAGCGTGGGTTGAGGGTGGAGTCACACACTGAAATTGCTTGCCTGCCAAATCTGGAGGCAGGTAAATCTACTTCCTTGTCTAGAATTGTTATGCTTTTTCTAGAATTCTAACTCCTCATCTCAAAGTTTATGTCTTTTTGACAAATGTACCTCCCTCTCAAGGCTAGCTTTGTTATCTCTCTCTCTCTCTCTCTTTTAAATCCAACTCTGGAACAGTTTTATTTTGTTTATTTTATTTTATTTTTTATGTGGTGCTGAGGATCCAACCCACTGCCTTACACATGCAAGGCAAGCACTCAACCACTGAGCCATACTTTGTCGTTTCTTACGCACGCACACACACACACACACACACACACACACACATGCTTCTGCACTATTAATGTGGAAGGAGACCCCCCTTTTTGGGGAGGGGGTACTGCAGATTGAACCCAGAGGTACTTTATCACTGAGTCACATTCCCAGTCCTTTCTACTTTGTTATTTTGAGACAGTCTCATCAAGTTGCTTAGGGCTAAGTTGCTGAGGCTAGCCTAAACTTTCAAACATCCTGCCTCAGCCTCCCAAGATGCTGGGATCACAGACATGTGCCCTGCGCCCAGATTGGAAGGAAACTTTCATGTTACCTGTCTGAACTCTTTTTTCCTTTCTTTTATTCTTGGAACACATTCTGTGTTGAGTAAGATGCCTCACCCCCAGGAATCTTACGGTCCCCCTCCAGAGCACTCTCAGGAAGCCAGCACGAAGGGCAGGCCAGGAGAGAGTTCCAGAGACACCACCAAACAGACTCTCACCTTTTTCCTCCTCTGGCCACTGTTGGTGATTTTGTCCGGAGTGACACCTAGGTCCGCCAGCACTTTGGCGATCCCTCTGGCATCCACTCCACAGTTGGGAGCCACATTGGTCTCACATCGACGGTGAACATTCATTTTGCAGACTGTAAGGAGACATAGGGGAGAGATATCCAAGTGTTTATGGTCTAAAGCATTACCTTTTGAAAAAGTAACATATGCAAATTGGTGCAGGCAGTATGGAGATTCCTTGGAAAACTGGGAGTGGAACCACCATTTGACCCAGCTATACCCCAAAGACTTAAAAACAGCATATTACAGTGATGCAGCCACATCAATGTTTATAGCAGCACAGTTCACAACAGGTAAATTGTGGAACCGACCTAGATGCCCTTCAATAGATGAATGGATAAAGAAAATGTGGTACATTACTCGGCATTAAAAGAGACTAAAGTCATGCATTTGCAGGTAAATGGATGGAGTTGGAGAATATAATGCTAAGTGAAGAAAGCCAATCTCAAAAACAAATGTTTTCTCTGATATAAGGAGGCTGATACATAGTGGGGATGGAGGAGGCAGCATGGGAGGATTACACAAACTTTAGGGCAAAGGGGAGGCAGGGGAAGAAAGGAGGATGTGGGGAGGAAAGACAGTGAAATGAGACAGACATCATTACCCTAAGTACATGTATGAAAACACAAATGGTGTGACTCTACTTTGGGTACAACCAGAGATATGAGAAATTGTGCTCTATTTGTATAATATGAATTGCATTGCGTTCTGCTGTCATATGTAACAGATTAGAATACATACATTTTTTTAAAAAAATAACAAGTTCATTTGATAGAATTTGGAAAATGCAGAAAAATAAAAATCCCCACTCATTCCACCACACAGAACCACCTTGCAGAGATAACACTCCTTCTAGTTACTTCCTTCCAGCCACTCTTTCTACATGTCTGAGACGAGGATAGACGAATATCACATTTCATTTTCATTTAGGGGAATAGAATACTGACTCCAAAAGAACCTAGTTGATCCCTCAGGGCGGGTGGGGGGGGAGAGAAAAAGTTCATTTGAATTCTACACCCAAATGGGGCACATGTCCACAGTCAGCTCCACTCCTCTGCGGGGGTCACATGATACAGGGCGCTCCACAGCAATTAGAAGAAGATCTCTGCCTGCTTTCAGCAGGGGGAGGGGAAGACAAACCATTCCCAAACAGGTCAGAACATTCTGCTCTTCTTAACAAGACCTGCCCTTAGGAGAAAGGATTTTATGAGAGCTTAAACTATCGGGGATTTATCAGATCCTAACTGACCTGGGAGTAAGGAAATGCCCACTCCAGCCCACTCCAGTCATGCCAAACCTCCAGAGGCCAGGGGAGGACGAGCAGCACGGTGGAACAGGCTCCCTACCAGACCGAGATCTATGCAGACGACCATGGGAGGCCTCCCCTGTCCCCACGCCCTACCATCACAGGCATATTTCACCATTCTCTACCCAGGACAGCATGTCAGGCTTCCAAGAACAATTACTAGGTGTACTAAAAGGCAAAAAGCATAATTTAAGGAGAGAGAGAGAGAGATGGCAGGCAATGTTACAATGATCAAATTGGGAATTTAAAACAAGACCTTAATAGGTGCCACATCTTCATGGTTTTCACTTTCCAAATAGCTATAGCAATCAAGTCAGCGAGGAATTGGCCAAAGAACAAATAGATCAATGGAATGGAACAGACAGTCCAGAAAGAGAACCATATAAATATAGTCAGCTGATCTTTGACAAAGGTGCAAACACAGTCCTTTTGACAGATGGTGCCAGAGTAACAAAACAAAACAACAACAAAGAAAAACACCCTGAATCTAGACACAGAATTTATGCCTACCATAAAATTAACTCAAAATGGATCATGTAAAATGCAAAACAACGAAACTTGTAAATGCTAATAGAGAAGACCATCTAGGGGACCTTATGCATGGACATGCCATTTTAGATAACAATACCAAAGACGTGATCCACCAAAGAAATAACTGATAAGGTGGGCTTCATGAAAATTAAAAGTTTCTGCTCTGTAAAAGGTACTGTCAAGACAATGAGAAGAAAAACCACAGACTGAGGGAAAGTATTTGCAAAAGATGTACCTTATGAAGGGCTGTTATTCAAAGCAGCCAACTTTCCACACTCAAAAATAACAAAATGAACAACCCAATTTTATAAATGGGGAAAAGATTGGAGCAGACATCTCAGCAAAGAAGATATTCAGATGGTAAATAAGCAGTCAAGAAGATGCATCATATGTCACTAGGGAACTGCAAATTAATACTATTAGATCAATTCTATTAAAATTAATTAATTAATTAATTAATCAGTCCCTACACTATTCTATTAAAATGGCCCAAATCCAAAACTCTGACAACAATAAATACTGGCGAGGATAAGAGCTACAGGAACTCTCAGGCATTGTTGGTGGGAATGTAAAATCAGTCATTGTTGGTGGGAGTGTCAAATGGTACAGCCCCTTTGGAAGACAGCTTAGCAGTCTCTTATAAAACAAAACATATTCTTACTATGTACTCCAGCACTCACACTCCTGGTATTTACCTAAATGCATTAAAAAATTATGTCCACACAAAATTCTGCACACAGATGTTTTTAGTAATTTTATAACTGTTAAAATTTGCAAGCCAGCAAGATGTCCTTCTGTAGGCTAATAGAGAAACAAACTTTGGTCCATCCAGACACTGAAATATTATTTAACCTCAAAAATAAATGCCCTATCAAACCATGAAAAGGAATGGAGGAACATGTAATGCCCATTACTAAGTAAAAGAAGTCAACCTGAAAAGGTTTCCAAATGATACCATCCCAACTACATGGCCCCATAGAAAAGGCCAAACTACAGAGGCTGTAAAAGGCTCTGTGGCTGCCAAGGAGGGATGAATAGGCAGAGCACAGATGATTTTTAGGGCAGCAAAACTACCCTGTATGTTACTATAATGGTGGATACATTTCATTACGTATTTGTCTAAAGGCAGGGATTACACACCACCAAGAGTGAGCCCTCATGTAAACCACAGACTTTGAATGATGTTGGTATGGTGAGGGAAGTCCATCAGTTGGTAACAAATGTGCCACTCTGGTGTGGGATAATGATGGTTGGGAAGCCTATGCCTGGGTTGGGGGTGCGCGGGGGTGCATAAGGGAAATCTCTGTTTTATGAACCTAAAACTGTTGTAAAAAAAATTAATGCCTATTAGAACAATTAGAAAACACAAAGCTGTTCCTAGCACGAAACCATGCGGACTGGCCCAGACCTCCTGCTTGCCCTGCATAACCTGGTCATCGGCCTGGAGGGAGGGACGGCACAGAGCCCCCCAAGCCTGGTTTGGAGAAATCAACTGAGCTATCCAATAGAAGACGGATTAAAGGTGGGAGGCGTGTAAGAGAGTGGCTTTCTCCGATTACAAAAACAAAGAAGAAAGCTCTACCCACCCAGCCATGGAGCTGACTGGACGAGGGAGCTCTTGGTAATGCCTGGCCAAAAGTCCTAGGGCCGAGGGCCACTCATACTCCAGGCAACGGCACTGCTCAGAATTCTCATCACACTCCCCTGAGCTACAGCTGCCGCTGGACACGCACTCACCTTCCCTGCTCTGCCCACCAGTCCCTCGTCTGGCTCTTTGTGAAGCATCAGAAAGGACATGAACCAAGGGACCACTTTCAGAGACTTTCCTGGCAAGTGCGAAGAGTCGGTATAATTTGACAACGGGCGCCCTCTAGTGTCCAAATGTCAAACCCGTCGATCGTGACCAGTTGGCAGAACAGCAAAGTAGAAAATGTTTTTTAGAGGACTTTGTTTCATATTTTTTAAAACCCTGATATTTCCATAGGAAAGCTTTGTAGTTGCCTTAATATGTTTTAAAAATCCTAATCACATGTCAGTTAAAAATGGATGACATGAGATAATGACATTGAAAGTGGTGTGAAAGTGGGCAGGTGAGGGCTAAGCCGGCTGAGGACTGAGAGCACGAGATGATTCAGGCAGCCACACTGGGAACTCGGGCTTTTGGAGGCTGCAGGTGACACCAGGAGGCTGCAGACCAGCAAAGGAAAGTAGACATGCCAGCTGGCAGCAAAAGAAACCTGAGGAGCATTCACTTTAATGTGGTCAAATGAGCTACGCATGTCACTGCCCCCACGCCCCTACCCGTCACTAATGGAGATGGCAGAAGCCAAGGGCTGTTAATCCTGGGCTGCCAACCCACTTTCAGCCCTAAGCTGCCCTTTAAGGCTTCTTTTTCTAGGATGCCTGTTAACATGCATTTGTACTGGTCTCATCCAAATGAAGTTGTGCCAAGGAAAAACAGAACCACTTGACCCAGATAGGGCTCTTATAAATGGATAACCCTACCCTACTACCCAGCTAGTCACCATCTATTTGTTGAGCACCTACTATGTGTGGGGAGGGGCTTCAGCAGCAGAGTCCTCTCAGATCAGCTTGTGGTTTGAGCACAGTGACCTTCATCTCCTTTTGGAGAGACTTCATTTCCATGTTTCCACCCTTTGCGTAAACTAGATGAAAGCCAGGATTGCAACAAGGAGGGTCAAGCTAATAGGAATTCGTCTAAAACAAGCAGAGTCTCTAAGGACAATGGCTGTCATGCCTGAGCAGATTAGCTGGGCCCATGTACGCTGCAGAAGTTTTTGCGTGTGTAGAACCAAGGCCCCCTCTCAAGCAAGGGGAGGCTATACCACTGAGCCACAGCCCCAGGCTCAAATCTGCAAACCTCCTGACTCAGCCTCCCCGGTAGCTGGGATGACAGGTCTGCATCACCACACCTATCTAGACATTTCCTCACGTTAGGCTAATTTGAAGATGAGTCAGGACGATGGTTGGATTCCATAGCAAGTTACCATCAGCCACCCTATGCTCAGAGATAGACAGCAAACAATTGGAAACAGGAATTGTGTAATGGACGTTGGCAGGGTTGGGAGAGGGGATGACTGCAGAGTGCCAGATAGAAGGGAGATAGGAGGTCCTGGGGTGGTCCCTTGGAGTCATACTGGGACAAATGTCCCCAGAAAGAGACTTGGGAGTCTGACTGCAKTGGAATCATAACACTTTTCAGAGACCAGAATGAGT